GCTGAAGGGGGAAAAAAAAGAAGAGATTTTAAAGCAACATGGCAAGTTTAGGATACTCATTTTTAACTTATCCAAAATAAAGGGATGCTGGATTTTCAAACTTTTTCTTCAACCCTTCATCAGTAGCTAGCTCCAGTTTATCCTGTAGTGCTACAGTTAAATTCAAGTGATCTTTTGATGAAAAACAAATGGGTTCATGAATACAAAAATGGATGCAACAAATGGGTCCATGGGATCCATGAATATGCATGGAACTTCTCTTGATAGGAAACTAAAATTCCAAACATTCTTAACAAATTTGTAAGATGTTCATTCATAACTTTTCACAGATGTGCAGTATCAAGATTATCTACTTCATTGACAATTGTTGTTAAACTTTGGTACATGTCATAAGAATCTACAGAAACTGTTTTTCCAACTTTCTAACTTGTTTTGTTTGTTTTTAAGTTTTTAGTTTTTGTTTTTGAGACAGGATCTTCTGATTTAGTTTGGGCTGGTAAACTCATTATGTAGCCCAGGATGGCCTCAAACTCACAGAGATCCTCCTGACTCAGCCTCCCAAGCCCTGGGATTACAGGCATGTGCCACTATGCCCGGCCTAACTTCTGTTTTATTTTTCCTTCAATTTTATCTGCCACTGAAAAACATATTGCATTGTTTCCTCGCATAAAAGCATCAGGATCATCAAAAATATTAAAGATATCAGACAAGCAAGTGTGGCTATCCAATTCGTATTTTTAAAAAGTTGAGGCCAAGCAGGTTTCTTGCCTTACAAAACCACTAAGATCTTGTTTTGTATTTCAAACACTCTTGACAAAATTTTTCCTGAAGACAACGTCCATATTTCAGCATGCAGTAACAGTTGTTATGATCAACTTCCATATTATCACATAAAAGAAATAATCTTGAACTTAATACATTAGCTTTTACATAACTCATAATTTTCACTATGTCAGTTAGCACCCCATACAGTTCAGCTGATTTTTTTTCATACCAAGACTGTTGTGAGGGATGAAGTAATGTGTTATTTTATATTGCAGAGCAAGTTCCTTAATCTGGGTGATCATTTTTAGAATGTTTTCCTGTCATTGAAGCTGTACCAACACAAAATTTAAATTCCAAGCCACACCTATTAGCAATGTAAGCTCCATACAGTCCTGAGCTAGTTGTTTGTAGGCAAAGGGGATGGAAGAAAATTCTTCCTTTGTCGTATCATCATGTTCAAACCTCACATAAACTAAAAGAATTCCCATGTTAGCAGTATCTCTGCACTCATCAAGTTGCAATACAAAAGCACTTCGAGAGTGCTATTTGTTCTGAGCATTGGTCTTCCATGTCATTAGCCAGCTCTTGAATGTGGCGAGTTAGGGAGTCACTGGAAAGTGGTACTTGTGCAACCTTCTTTGATGCAGTCATTCATGACTATCTCGGCAATTGGGTATGGTGTTTCGACTTGGCAACTGGCAGTTTTACTTTTGTGGGAAGCCTGAGAAGCACTGTTTATATGAGAAACATTGAACACCTGCCTTGGTTGATTTTTTAATTCACAACTTTGTCTCAAAGAATTATTTTGGTTTTGAACTTAATTCTTTATGTTTTCAATATAAATGCCATTTACGTTTCGATGGTTTCAACGCTTCATTAGCCAGTACATCTACACAAATGATTTACTGTGGCTCTAGCACTTCACCTATGGACTACAGCTACAAAACCCAACTCAATATATGAATGATGTTATTTCTGAGTAAAACTCGTATGAGCTCTTAGCTTTTACTTCTCTAGGATGACTTTCACTGTTACCATTTCTTTTCTTACTATTGCTATATGCAGAGAAGGTGTATCTTTTCTTCACAAGAAAGTCCAGTGAAGTCTGTTTCACCATTTTTGTTTTCCAATAGCCTCGCTAAGCTTCTGAAAAACTTTTCTCTCATATTTTCTCATTCAATTTCTGCTTCATTAATATGTAAACAGATTATCATAGCCCATGCTTTGAGACATCAGAGAAAGCCACAAAAATTACCCACTCTCTTGAAGGGTTGTGGCTCTGGGGAGTCACGGTCCATCCCATCTTATGCAGGCTGGAGTTGCACACCCATGTGCTCCTTTGCAGAATCTCACGGGGTTGTTTTTCCACAGGAATGTCCTGCGCCTAAGTGCCCTATGGGATCTGCTGCCCAGGCGCATCCAGCTCCAAGTCCTCCACCACAGCCACCACCTCAGCCCCACTCTCTGGTCACTGTCTGCGCACGCAGGCCTGGGCTCCGTCGGCAGGACGGCCAGGAACTGCTCCTTGCTGCGGGTCCAGAATGGCAGCCGCTGATGGCAGAGCTCAGGGCCTTAGTAGACCCTGGGTTCCCAGAGGCAAAAGCGCCCAAAGTGCTGGTATGCACCACGCCCCTCAGCGGCGAGGGCACTGTCCCAAGCATGGTCCTTGTTTTTTACCATCACGCAGATGATATCCTCCGTCCTGCTTGGGTTGCTGTCTGCGCCCACGCTCTCAGCAAATGTGCCTGAGCTCTGGCTCTGTCTCTGGCCAGGAAGTTCTGACCATACCAGAGGCTCTAGACTGACGCGGCCACGTCACAGCACACTCAGGTGCATGCGTGCACGATACGATGCAGCCTTCGGGTCACAAAGCAGGGTCACACGTCAAAACGGTCTTTAGGTCACCAAGCGTTTACACCAAACGCAGACACGTTACGGCCCACACACTACGTCAAAAAGCAAAGGGGTCCTTCCACGAGTCTAGGCGGCACCACTTCTGGAAGCCGAAAGTTGAGCGACTGCACGCGGGCACTCCCAGGAAGGAAGCCCTAACTGCCAGGACTGGGCGTGAAGCCTGTGCCGGGACGCCTGCCTTACAAGGTTTCTGCTGAGGATTCTGCTGTAATGTCTGTTCACTCGTCCGTGACTTAGCTTGCTGTTTTCAGGATTCTCTTGGTCTTGTACTTCCGACCATGGAGTATTAATATGCCAAAGGGAGGATGATCCTTGGTTAAATCTATTAGGCATTCTTTTGACCTTCTTGGACTTGGTTGTCTGCATTTTTCCTAAGACTAGTTTTCAACAATTATCGAATAGGGATTCTCTTTCTAGAATATCCGTAACACAAAAGTTTGCTCACTTAATGGTGTCAGTATTACTGATTCTTATCAGGATGCTCTGCAACTTGTTGAATTCCTTGGAGGACTGGGGGTGGGGGTGGGGTGGACCCAAGGACTTTAGTGAGCCAAGCTGGCCAGGAAAGAGTACTTAGCAGCTTCCTGAGGTTGAGGGTGAGCGGGGCCACTCATCTGCTACTCTGGGTCTGTGGGCTGACTCACTCAAGCACTTGTGTGCATTTTAGGATACATAACTATATTTCACTGATAACTTTTTAAATGTTTGGTTTTGTTGTTGTTGTTGTTGTTGTTGTTGTTGTTTTTGGTACCAGGGATCGAACTCGGGTCCTTGCGCTTGCGCAGCAGGCGGCAAAACCACTGAGCTAAATCCCCGGCCCAAAATGTTTTTTGTAACTTCTTTCCAAGATACAGATTACAAAAATAAGTTCTGTGCAGTAAACCAAACAGAAAGGAAACAAGAGTTTGTACAACCCCTATCTTTTCCATTTTCATTTGTTGGGAGCAATGCTACATAATTCTAGGGAGGGGTCATTTGGTTGGCCTGGTTCTCTTGCCTACAGCCCAGCTGCAGGATGGCTCCAGTTTGGCCTCCGGTCACAGCTGAGGCTTCAGTGGTCCAGTGATGCTGTGGTTCTCCGGGACGGGAGGCATCCTGGGAGGGCGGGCATCTGCTCAGTTCCTCATTGTTCTTGGACTGATTGGCATCTTGTTTGCCAGAGATGTGCTGGGCTCTCTGCAGGCCTTCCGTTGCACCTTGTTTGTCCCGGTGTGGACTGTTGAACTCTCTGCAAGTCATCTGTTACATTTGTTTCTCCCGATGTGCTGAGTGAAGGGTGTGGTGGGCTGGGGGCTTTGTCTTTGCTGCCCAGAGCAGCACTGATCATACCCAAAGCTCAGCTTCTTCTCGGTCTCATTTTTCTACCTTTCCTGTAATTCGCCGTGTGCTGCCATGCTCGCAGGAGACCAGGACTCACTGCAGAGGTTCTGGTAACGTCCCCTTCCCCTGTCCCCTACATTCATTTTACCACCATTACAGCCATCCAAGGAATAAAAGTTAACAAATATGTATGTATCTTCATGCAGTGAGAAGATGAATAGCTTATTGCCATGAATGTTAGAATCCTTGGAGCTGAAAAGGGCAGGTATGTGCATGGAAGGCCAGAAGAAAAATGCTCAATTGTGCTACAGCCATATAAACTCTGCTCTGTGTTCTTACTGAATGTAAGAGAGAATCAAATTATAAAATGGAGGGACTTGAAGGAAATTGATAACTATAATGCAATTAATTGAATAACTGTGTTGACACATTCAGATAGGTTTCTAAAAAAGCATATGATTCAGTTTAAAGCCAAGGGATTATTTCTTCAAACCATTCCATATAATTCACCAATTTACCTACTGATTCTGTAAACTCTGTGTTCACTTTTAATGGGATTTTAAAACCCTAATTCTAACTTTATGCCCACCACCCTCTACTGAACTCCCAGCAGTTCCTCAGGTACAGTACACTGCTTCTCACTTCTAAACCTCTGCTCATTCCTCTGTCTTTCTGTCTTTCTCCATCCTTCTTACTACCCACAGTTGGAAGAACTGTCCCTTCTTCATAATTTTTCTTTGTCCCTACAAAGTAGTCGTCTGGTTGCATATCTCTCTCCTAGAGCCTATTTCTGGTCCTTCAAAGGGGACAACTTTGCCTGATTTATTTCTGCAATATTCAGTGCAAAATTTATCATGGTCTTGGTAGGCACATACTTCTGCTAAATTAATACAAAAAAAAAGTTTTTACATACTTGCTATTTTTTAAAAACTCAAAATTTTAATTGAAGATTTATAATGTGCAAATATCAATGTCCTCCTACTAATGAAAAAGACACTTACCATCAGTTATGGCTTCTCCTTTCAGACTCTTGATTCCTCTGGGCATTGCATTTCCATCCAAGTAGAATTCAATTATACCATCATCCAGGATAATTAGAAGATGAAGCCAAACACCTTCTTCTAAATATTTCATGACTGTTGTCTTGGCAATATATGTAGTATTGGATCCCAAAGTTTTATAATGAAGGGAAAATGTCACGTGAGATTCATTTGTTTGAATTTTTATCCCATAGTAGATGCTTCCATTTCCATCATCCTTTGCTATGACAAACCCATTTGTTCTAGCATTAGGCATTACCCAAGCTGAAAATGTAAAGTTTGCAATTGTGTTATTCCTAGAAGGATGGTATTTTGGATTAACAGTCCCAAATGCACCCTCTCGCCCACTGAAGTACAAAGCATCTGTTCCGCTATGGTGACGTCTCATGTGTGGTTGTAACTGCACAGTGCTTGGGAAAATTCCAACCAGTAAAAAGTCCACCATTGGTGGCAAACCAGCAGTAAACTCACTGGACAATATTTCCCAGCCTACTCGGACATCACCAAAGATGCCCTGTTGTCTCAAAATGGTGAAGTTGGTAATATAAGACATATCGTCTTCTGAAAGGACATCTTCTGCCACTTCTCTCTCTAAGCACTCTCGGTCCAAGATGAAAATCCCAAAAGGATCATCATTGAATGGAATCATTACTGTCACCTGAAGGTTAGTTTCTCCCAGTTGGCCCCCAGGACCTGGGGACCCACCTATGATTAAAAAAAAAATTAGTGAAAAACTAGAATTTGAAGTACTTTCCATTTTAAGTATTTTAAAGAGGAATTGGCTTAGCAGACAAACTTCTAACATTGTCAGTGAACAACAGTATTACCATAAGGCCTTCATCACACTTTACAGCCATGATAGCAAATACTATTGATTCATCATAATTTCATTAATAATCAGTCAAATCTGAAAAGAAAATATTAACTAGAGAGGCTTATTATACTTCAAACCAAACGTTGAGGGGAAAATGGATTGTTATGTAAGCCATGATGAATCTGTATTTCATAACTTCCATTAATGTTTATTGGGAACACTATATTTGATGTGTAAAAAGTCTACTTACAAGTTTCAGGATGGATGTAAGCCTCCGTCCATAAAACTGAACGCAGCTAAGACCACAAAATGAATGTAGAAATAACACTTTGGTGTTGAGGGTTTATCTCTGTGGCAAAACATGTACCTAGCATGCACAAGCCCTGAATTCTCTCCTCAGCATCAAAATAAATAACATCTTTATCAAGAAGGATACTTTATTATTTAAAATCAGACAGTCAAGATACACTTAAATAGATAAAAAATTTTGGTGGTAAATAAGAGATGAAAAAACAGCACCTGAAATATTTATGAGCTTTAGAATATAAAATTCATTGAATTCAGGAATACTGTCTGGAAAAGCATGGAGAATTACTGGTTTTGCTTCTTCTCCATCCATGAAGTGAACAGTCCCTGAAGTGTCATAGAATTCCTGGCCAGGATGCAGAGCAGAATCATTCTGAAATAGCTGCCAACCCACAGACACATTTCCAAAGCATCCTCGGTGCCTCAAAATCCTACATAACAAATTGTGTAGTTATTTTTTTGAAAAGTTTATAAGTAGTGAATCTCGCTCTAATGAGAACATTCTATATTATCTCAAAAATATTTTGTGTTTATCATCTTTAAATGAACTTGTCCCACTGAGCAACCAGGAATAATTTCATGAAGAGGGAGGAATGAAGTGGAATTTTAAATAAAAGCAGTTGTAGAAGAAAATAAATTCCAAGCTAAATTGAAAAATAACTTTGATGATAACTAGCAATTGTGTTTCAAAAGAAATGTTTAGGGTGAAAATAGTCACGTGACAGCTCAGAAACACGTCCATTAAGACTTCAGATAATCCCATTTTCTCAATCTTGACAAAGGATGAAGGTGCGGTGAAAAGGGTGAAAAGGGTAATTTGTGCCTACCAGCTAAAGCATTTGGGTTTCTGTAATCTTTTAGTAGACAAATGGCAGCAGCATAAACAAAATTTAACCATTCATTTAAACTGTCAACTTAAAAATTACTCAATTCCCAGCCAATTTTTAAAATTTTGAAACATTACCGGTATTTCTAATTTTTCACATACTTAATTTCTATTTTATTCATCTAATTGTGACTTTCCTTATCCAAATGTACTTACCAAAATGCATTAGTCTTTCCTTCTTCTACTGTTTTGTCTATGGGCTCCACAGAAAAAATACCATTTGGGTCATCATTAGCGTCAATTATGACTGTAGCTATTCCATATGGATATACTACTGTATCACCTAAATGAAAGATAGAAATGTCAAAGTAATAAAAAGTAGCTAGCTTACTATTAAATTTATATTTTAAAATTAACGGTTATAATTTTGGGCAAATTTTTCATAATAATTTCCTTACTGAAGGTCACACAATAAATGTAAATACTGGTCTACTTCTCTAAAGATGTTTATAGGAGGACATGTGTATATATATACATGCATTAGCTACAGGAGAAAAGATGCCTAAATAACATGAAGTCATTCCTATTTTGTCTCTTGAGAAAATGTTTAGTTACAGAGAACTACTTCATTGGGAAACAAACATGACATTTTTCTTCACAAGAATATACTGCAATAGCTTAATCTGAAATTTTAAAAAAGTTTCTTTTAACTTCAGATTTCAGAGATATATACTTTTATTTCATTAAAATAATGAAGAATTACCCTATAACATAGAAGTACTACTGTCCATATCAATTGGAATCAGTGGCTCAAGTGTATTTGTGGTTTATCTAAGAATTAATGTTTTTTGAAATTGTGAGTTTTTTTGTGGCCATTATTGTACAGAGTCAATTTTTTCCTTATGGTAGTTTTTGGTTTTGATGGGGGTATATTTTTAGTTAAGCCATGTGAAAAATGAGAAGCACAAAAAGGAGGAAGGGGATAGAAAGAGATCAAGGAAGAAAGGTAAGAATGATGAAAGGAAATTGCAAAAACAAAGATTAAGAGATCTCTTCCTTTTTCTCTGCCTCTTGTGTGTCTGAAAGCACAGAGCACAACATGAGGTCAGCACTCGAGCTGGGTACGTGGGGCAGGGCTCCTCCGCGGAGTGAAGCTAGGAGCTGGGTGTGGAGCCTGAGTGGGGAGGGTTGCCTCAGACCAGGAAGACAGGACCCTAGCAGGGTAATTGCTCCACCTCATCGTGAGAAGGCAACAAGGACAGAGAGAGAGGTTAGATACACGGGAAATTCCTCAAATATGTAAGCATATGAAGGACAGTGGAAGCTGGACTGCTTACTGTTAGAGAAGGGATTGATAAATATGGAAAGAGAGGAAACTAAACAACCCTCTGATGTTAGGCAAGAATGACAATATTGGTGTGTCTCATAGTTTTCAACACACATAGTTAGCTAATAGAACTATGGATCCAGGATTGTCCTTGTGTGTACACACATACAGAACATCTATCCCATCTCTGTACACTTAGAGGACCCTCACTAACAGTAACCACACCTAGTACTCAGACCCTAACTACTGAATCACAGTCTTCATTACAAGGAATCGGGGCTTTTTGGAGAAAAGGATTGTATAAAATTAGCTTGGAGGGAGTGAAGGACACACAGGTAATGGGGAAAAAAATAAGAACTAAGATACATCATGTTCAGGTACAAACACCCAAAGATAAATGTAAATGTATTGTATACCTAAAATGTACC